ATATGCAAGTGGGGAAAAAGTTCTGTTCGTTAGCTTGATTGGCTTGCAGATTCTGTGTCAAGAGGAGGCATATAAGCCTGAACACCATATTTATTCCTTAACTGTTCATTCCTCCATACTGGAAAAAAATATGCATGCGTTCCTACATTTCTTTGCTCTTGCAAAATAAAAAAAGCTAAACAAAAGCTTCAAAAGTGGATGTCGGTAGTTATTATAGAATCACATGGACTGTGTTTTCACCCATTTTTCATTCAGCTCAGTATGCCGGGGAATTATCAAGCTCTATTTATAAACAGAAAATGGGACCATTTGAAGTGGATATTCAAATATCTATGAACATACCAATTAACCTGAAACTTATCCAATCCATTTTCTTTCTGTTGCAGCCTTTATCTTAAAGCACCATGTAAATCTTTTCAGCTCACGTTTAAGGTTGTGCTTTATACAGTAGACAGTAGAGTATATTGTGCCATCTGGTGGTCATTGTGGGAAATGCTCACATGGAGACTAATGGTGAAATCTCTTGGCTCTGAAGCTGGGCCTCCATGTATGTTCCTATGTTTTAAACCACAGATCAGAATGTAACAGTAATAGTAGCTAGAGCCTGGCAAGGATTTAAGCCAAAAGGGAAAAGGTCAGAACTCATCTCATCTTCTAAAGGTCTTGGTAAGGGTGAACCTGTTTTGTAAATATTTTTTAAGAGGATTAGGAAAAATGTGACCAATCAATAATGCAAATACAGATACCGGGAAAGACTCATAGGGTTGCCAGGTGTCCAATATTGAATTAGAGAGACCGGTATTTTTGCTTCCTGTCTAGTACAAAAATTCAGAAAATACCAGACACCTAAAATGTCCAGTATTTTCTGATTTTTTTTCCTGGCCAGGAGGCGAAAATCCTGGGTATTTACTGGGTTCCGCAAGGCAGCTGTCTGGCCTGGCGCAGGGAGGCAAGATGGCAGGCAGCTGCCAGCAGCCTGTTTGGGCCAAAAAGCCTCAAAAGCGTTTCTTAAAGGGGGCCATGCTGGGGTGTTTTTTTATTATTATTTTGGGGTTTGTTTGTTTTTTTGCTTAACAGGGTCCTTTTTTTTTCTTCCCTCAACAAGTTTGGTCTCCCCCTTTTTTTTCCTCAACAGAATTTTTTTCTCCAGTGGGGTTTTTTTTTTGAGAGGGGAGGGAGGGAGGTTTGGTATTTTTGGTTAAACCATCTGGCAACCCTAAAGACTCATGGGAGTGGAGTTTCGTTAAAGGTTGAGACACTGTACTTTGTCCCTTGACTGTGTGAGAGTTAGTTAATATTTTGGGGGCAAGGCACTCACAGTCAAAGCACAGACACTGTTCAAAGCACTTTCTGTCAAAGAGATTAGCATGTTTCCGATTATTTCATGTTCTGGACAAAGTCTGTGTTTTAAATGCAAACAGAGGAGGTTTTTAAAAAAACAAAGGCTAGCCCGTTTAAGAATGGACATCAGTCAGAGTGGGTACAGACGCAGCCCCCCTCCTGCTGACAGCACCCTCCAATGTACGGCTGATGCCAGGCTCAATGCTCCACTTGTCTACTTGTCCCACAACTGTGACCAGGCAACTGTCTGTCTCTCTCTCTTTCTCTCTCAAATATCTTCCCTCAAAAGGTGGGCAGAGTCACCATCAGCTGAATGTTCAAATCCCTCCTTACAAGATACTCATCACACCTCGGGAGTAGAATGACTCAAACTGATATATCTTGCATTTTATTTACAGACAGTGGTTCCAAGTGTTCAGCCATGCAGTGCAAATCCTTTTCTTGTGGAGCTGTGTTATCTTATTGCTTTAACCACTGACACACACTGTTTTGGGTCCCTTTGTTTTGTCTCATATGAAATGAGACAGTAACTTCTTCCAGGCAGGACTTTGTGCCTCCAGTAAATTGTCATTGTCTTATTTCCTGCCCTGAATTCAGGGCTCTGCCCTCTGTATTTCTGCGAGAGGAGATTACCTCACTAACATGTAAGAAATCTAGCTCCCAGCTTTGTGGGCCTGGTCCAAAAGTCATTGACGTGATTGGAAAGAGTCCCATTGACTGCAGTGGACACTGAATAAAGCCCTAAATGTTGGTGAGGTTTAAACTGTTTGTTCCAAAAAAACAGTAAGGCTCTTACCTCTGGCCTTGACAAGTAAGAACCTTTTCAGACCCCTTCAAATAGAATCTGGAAGCTGTTTGAACTGAAAAGGGGTGGACTTATTACGAACAGCTTTCCTTTATGCTCACCAAAGCTGAGAGATTTTGCTTTTTTACATGTTCTAACTTTTGTGGAGAATAGCCTAAAGCTCCTGCTTTAATTTAACATGAGGCAGGTCCGTACTAATTAAGACAAACCCTTACATACCATAGATGTGCGTGGTATTTTACAAAAAAGAGTCAAGGGGAGTTGTTTTGCTGGTGAATGAATACTGGGGGTAGAATCGGGTCTTTTTCTGCCTGCTACAAATGGGCACATTCCAGAAGGAAAACTCTAGCTCTGGATAGGTCCAGGATAAAGAAACAAGGAGCGGAAAAGCTCATGAGTGGCAGCAGCTCTACACGCTCCCAACTTCTGTATGTCCTCTCTTCGGGCCCATTTAAAAACTCTGAGCGTGTGAGCCACATCCCAGGGAAGCCAACTGAAGTCATTCAAGTAGGCTGAACTGCAAAGAATGGGGAAGCCACTCCCCAAAGCTGGTGCTTATTCCAGTACTGAGATTTACCAAGCCAGCACAAAATAGCTTCTATAACACCTCACTGGTTACCCAGAAGTCAAGAAGACAGTCTCTTAAAGCAACCCCGTATTACGCCTTGATCCAGACAACCACGTCATATAAAGTTTTACCATTCCCAAAGGATCGGTTTCATTACCTCCCAGGTCAATGAATATTTCAGATTGTATCCCAAATACACCCTTACAGCCAAATCTTATTAACTCAACTAATATATTCAAAGAATCGAGAGTTTTAGTTAAAAGATCAATACAAGTACTGACATGAGTACTGTTCTAGAAGCAGATTCATTGTAGATGTGGTGAACTTTGTAGTTGCAAAGTTTTTTCAGACTCAGCCCTTAGTCCAGTGCCCAAGATCATATTCAGGGTGTTCCAGTTTAGGACTGAGATCTCAATACTTATGTCTTAGGCTTCTTTTGTGTGAAATCTTAAGCAGATGCGATCAGTCCCAAGGGTCTTTATTTAGTTTTCTTGGATCCTCTTGACCATTCAGTAGTTAGTGAACAATTAGACTACAGGTTGGACCTCCCTGGTCTGGTGCCTTCGGGACCTGACAGGTCCTGGTTGAGGGATTTTTCTGGACCGGGCAGATCATTTCAGGGCCTCCCTGACTCCCTTCTCCCTGCTTCCTGGCTCTCCCTGCAGCCCAGCTGAGCTGCACGACGGCGCCCTGTCCTATCCCTTGCAGCCCAGCTGATCCATGCGCTGGCTCCCAGGCCCCCACCCCCCTCTGCAGTGCTCTGGGACTCTCTGATCCTGGATCATCTGTGGTAATGTTGGACCATGGATGTTGCTGGACCAGAGAATCCTGGGTTTTAGAGGTGCAACGAGATCACCTAGGTCCCATGCATCATGGGCAACTGTCTATTCAGGTTAGTATAAGACAATTTTCCCTCATTCACAGATGATTTGCTATATACTTCAAAGAGAGCTGACTATAGTATAGACAGGAACCATCTGATTACATTGTTAACTCCTTACAAGATACATACAAGCCCACAATTATTTATCAGTATGTCCCTAAAGGTTGAATGTAGGTCATTTATCCTGCAAGATTCTTGGCCTTATGTCACAGAGGATCTCTGGTTAACAGTACCCCTGCCTGGGACTAGTTTAACACCCAGACCCGTTTCCAGCAACCTAGAATTGCAGACAGGAGCCCAGTGCAACACAAAAAGAATGCCTTGCTTTGTTCTGGCATTTTCGCTCCTCCCCAGGGCTCTTCTTCCAATCCTGGGGGAGTTTTCCAAGCCCTCCTCCCTACATGGGCTCTTATGTCCAGTCCCAACTGTCAGGGTTTCTTCTCCTGTCCTGCGAACCTCCTCTCCTTTCTTCTTTGGCGCCCACAGTTGTTCACCCGCATCACTACAGCTCCCTGAGCTTCTCCCTCTCACTGCAGCCACCTTCTGTTTTTTATAGGGAATTGCCTGATTCTCTCCATAGTGGGCTCATGCCACAATCGGCATGGCTTAATCACGGGCTCTACAGCCCACAGGGCAAGTCATCCTGTTACAGATGGCTACCCTCAACGAAGCAGAGTAAAAGTCTGAGGGCTAGATTGTCATGCTGTCTGGAGCAGCAAACAACGGTGAATGCCTGACTTTCAGAGAACTAGGAAGACACCTTAAACTGGTCTATATGATCTAGAAATTAGGTTTCATCAAGGCAGTAACAAATGTGAATTCCTGGCTCGCTATACCAGTCTTACCATTGAGTCCTTCGTTAGCATTTTTTGGTGTGTAATTTAGTTGCAAGAGTATTGACCAGGTAAATGTTGGCTATTTCATTGTGATGGGAAGAGATAAGTGAAAACAATACAAGTAACGTCCCATTAGTTGTTTGAAGTTTAAACACGCATAACCATATGTAAAGTCACTGGGATCTAATAGACAAGTGAATTGACCTGAATACCCTCTAGCATGACCTGTTAGCCAGCGTCACATGGATTTTTCAGCGGGTATATAGTCCTTGCAGAATGGAGCTACATCAATTTACACCTACTAAGGAATCGGTCCTGGAAGTAGGCATCTTGGTGCTTTGTTTCTTGAAACATAATTTCCAGAGGACATGATCGGGGAAACCATCAGGCGGAGATGAGTGACCTTCAGAGTCGATCCCTATCTCTGTTCCTGTAACACATGCACAAGTAGTGGGACAGGAACATTCCTGCCTCTATTACCAGCAATCTTTTATCTTCTATCTATTAGATCAGAGTAAACATGAAGCATTAATATTTAACCAAACTTTTGTGTCTGGCTGCTTGTTTTTTTAAAGAGAAGACACCGTTGATTTAGAGTCACTTTGGAAGCTTGTGGACTAGCAGCAATGTATCCCACGGTGCTGTTCTGGTGGGCTGTTACTCTAGCACACTGCACTCTTGCGGGAAATGGTAAGTATCTTTACTTTTTGCATAGCAAATAATCTGTATTGTGAGTGGACAATGAGGAAAGGGGCACCTGGTGGATGGGGGGTGGTTGCAGAATCTCTGGGTATTTTTGAGCAGTTGGAAACAATTTTCTAGGAAAGTTTTATACTATCTCCCTCGTCTATACGCTGACCGCATTGCACGCACCCGGGGTTCCTTGCATTTCTCAAATCTTCTCTCCTAGCTTCCTGTGTGCCACCCGATTATCTCTCTCTATGTCAGCGACTCCCTGCTACCTTCCCATTCCCTGCTCCATGCCATGCATGGACTTTGTGTCCCTGTGGCCTCCCTACACCCCCATAGCAAGATCTTCTACATCTCCAGGAGCTCTGATTACCTCCCATCTCCTCTTCCCCAATTCACTTGTCCACTATTTTCCCCCTTTCCAGAGACTGAGTGTGTGTTCCCCTTTTCTCCCATATCCTGCCTTCTCATGGCAGGGGCTCTGGGTGGTTCCCTCATTTCTCCCTCTGCCACATCCCAGGATGTGCTCTCTGTTTGAAATAAACAGAATAAAAGACCTAAAGAGTTAAACATTACACAGTTTTAGACAAGATTCAGGGTTTTGTCTACAGGGAGCTCTGCTTGCTTAGTGCCACGGCAAACACACCATTAGAAATCTTTGTCTTCTTTTGCTTTATCTTTAATAAAAGGTTAAACTGGTTAAGGCATTTGAAGTGTTAAATATTAAATTCAGTTTTCTTTATAGCATCCCCTGTTCCTGCTCCCTTTAGCTGGAGACAGCTTTTAGAAGAAACCCCTCCTTTATCTAGCAGTCTTTTATGGTAATTACTGTCCTACTGGGAGGAAAGAGGCAAATTTAGTTAATTGAGATGGGCTGGAACCGCATGATTGCAGTTGCTGTTAAAGGCTAAGACCATTTATCAGAAAACAAAACAAGATCAACGCATGTGCAGCAGGGAGAGAAAAAAGTAGAGAAGGTAGAAAATGCAACATTTGTCTCTGGCATTGATTTCCACTTGCAACCTCGCTGCTGGCAAAACACAGGGAAAGCACTGTCAGCCACTCAGAGCGCTGGCTAAACTGAACAAGCTGTTTTGGGCATTGCTTTTTGGTGTCTTTTTCTGGTCACCGGCTCACAGCGCAGTGCTGCAGAATATGAAGTCTTGGCCTGACTCAGAAAAGGAAGGAAAAAGCAGTGAGGAAACAGAAGCAAAGAGGCGGGAAAGGAGGAAAAAACACACACACACACAAGTGGGTGTGTGAGACACACACACAAAACTCACATTCCAGGTGGTGGGTGGGATTCAGCCGATAGAGATGGTAATGTCCTTTGCCCAGGCCTGCCAAGCAGGGGAAGCAAAAGGGGCAACTGCTCCAGGGTGCAGTGATTGAAAAGAGCCCAGGGTTGCCAGCTGCTGCCGCCATAGCGGTGGTAGTGGTGGTGGCCAGAGCCCCAGACCCTCTAAATCACCCCCAAAGCTCTGCATGTTCCAGGCGGCTCTCAGGGCTTGTTGGGGGTGGGGCTAGCTGCTGCAGACGGCGCTGAAGGCTAATTGCCCTCAGTTCCCCCTTTCCAATCGTCCCGCTTGCCTAGGGGCCCGGTGAGTCTGTCAGCCCCACTGCCTTCCTTTCTCTGGCCTGGTCTGGTTAGGACCTCTTTCAGGCTCAGGATGAAAAAAGGCCCCAGGGTCCAGAAGATGGAGGAGATGGCAGCCATGATGGTGAAACTCGCTCTGGCCAATTTTTCTCCCTACATTATTTTTTTAAGACTCTCTTAGAAGGGACTGATAAGCAAAACAGTCCACCCTCATATTATGTTGTCTATTGATTAGGACTAATATCCAACATACCATTTCTGGCTAATTGATTTTTGATTCCACACTTTCCTTGTTTCAAGGACTGTTCTGAGATTTGTTAAGACTAATTCAGTTGTCTCTCTGGCATCTTTTCCCATCAACATTCATTACCGTAGGCCATTGTGACATCTTATGAACTTTCACTTGCATTTAGTGTAAATTTGTATGCTCAACAACTCTTCCAGGCATTTTCCTCCCATTCCCAGGGTTTTCCATTCTTCCCACCAATGTCAAGGGTTCTGTGTGCACCCAATTATCTCCATACATAAAGAAAAGATATAAAAATGAGCGGGGAGAGAAGTCATTCATGATATGTCAACACAGCAGCTTTATTTCGGACTAATTGACGTTATTTCGAAATAACAAAGAGCATGTCTACACTGCAAGCCATTATTTTGAAATAATGTTGAGCTGGAGAACTTCTTACTCTGACTCCTGTAACCCTTATTTCATGAGGAATAAGGGAAGTTGAAGGAAAAATGTTCTTCTTTTGACTTCCTGCTGTGTAGACAGCTTAATTTGGCTTTTGGCACTATTTTGACGTAGCTCAAGTTGCATAGTTTAATTTGACTTTAGCACTGCTGTGTAGACGTACCCTCAAGGTGTTGTCATTTTTAAACAGGCTTGGGAGGATCTGCAGAGCTGAAATGATGGTATCATTATTTTGGAAGGTGTCACCATGTGGTTCTTTGATCTATGCACAGTTATTGACAGACAATCTGAGAAATGCCTTTGAATTGAGAGTAAGACTTTTGTGCTTGAGTGTTCTAAATCATACAAACAAAATATTCTGCCCATTAAAACTAAAACCTTCTATTGTAAAGTGCTGCCTTTCTTCCAGTGTGCCCAAAGCCTCCTGAAGTGCCATTTGCTAAAGTTGATGTAAACAAGATAATATATGAGAGAGGTGAAGAAATTACGTACACCTGTGATCCAGGTTATAGCCATCACAGTGGCCTTAAAAAGTATGTTTGCCCTTGGTCTGGTAAATGGCCTATCAATACAATGAGATGTATACGTAAGTAAATCATAAGTACCATTTCTAGAGGTTATATTCTGCTTTAACTAGACTGTGCATTGGTTTGACACAGGCTTTTTTGTGGCTCATGCGATATATGATCTAGCTGTGATGCTTTTATTTTCTGTGGTCTTGCCTTTACAGTCTAAGAACTTGACTTTGCACTCAGTTCTTAGAATGGAAAGTAGGCAGCCATATTGTTATCAGACTTCCTTCCATTAGACAAGAGCTGCCCGCTTCACTCTCTAGTGGGAGCTTTGCTTTTGTTTTTCTCTTGTTAATTTCCTTAATACAAAATAAAAGATGCTTAGATTGAAATTATATAGAGCTGTTCTTTACATACGGAAAACTAACAATTTATGATGTTTATAACCAAGATTGTAACTCACCTTTTCATTCTTAAAATTGGAAGTTTTGTTCATTCTATTGTTTTAAAGTGTGAGGGTAAAATATTGCTAATTTGACTTTAATGGCATCTACAGAAATATATGTTTGTTTACAAAATCACATTTATTTAAATGGAAGGCAGGATCAGGCTTAGATAACTTTAATTTTATGGAGTTCCATCACAGGCAGGTTATTTATATCACATGCTTTTCATGGCCCTTGGACAATTGATCGTTAAAGCTAATTTAATCACTAAGAATTTTCATCTTAAGTAACCATCTTAAGTATATTTTGATTTCAAATATAAAATGTATACAGTCATGAAAATGTGTACAAAAAGGTGGAAAGATTTGAATGACACTACTTAATAAATGATCTACTGTCACTGCTTTATTTTATACATCATGAAATAATATTATCCTCTTTTATCGTTAAACAACAGCAAAGAAATGCTCCTATCCTGGACCCTTGAGAAATGGAGGAATTGATTTTATAGACTTGAACTATCAGAGTTTGGTACACTTTTCATGTGAGCCAGGGTAAGTTCTCCAATCACCATGGCATTAAAAAAAATAACCTAAGTTGCACTATTAAGTTGTAGCATCGTATAGCCTTCTTCAACATAATAAATGAGGTCTTCTTTTTTATTAATTGAGAAAAGCTACAGAAATAAAAATGATCCGTTTCATATTTTATGGAGGTGAACATAGGAATTGTTATAGTAGCCTATCGCTGAAGACACTAATTTCAAAGGACTTTATTAAATACCCATCGTGAACACTTAGGCCAGGTCTACATTAGACCTGGAGGATTGGTCTAAGGTATGTGACTCCAGCTTTGTAGAACATGTAGCTGGAGTTGACTTACCTTAAGCTGAGCTTGGCACCATCCCCACTGTGGGAGGCCGATGGGAGTAAATGTTCCTGTCGACTTCCCTTACTCCTCACCACTGCAAGGAGTATAGATGCCAGCTGGAGCATCACTCTAGGTATGTCTACACTGTGGGGATTTTCTGGAATACAGGAGGTATCCCTGAAAAACTCCGCTGCGGCCAAGGAACGCGTTTCCTCTTCTGCTTTTTTTTTGCAGAAGAGCAAACGCACTCTTTTGAGGAGCCCGGTATACCTCATTCCTCGAGGGATAAGGGCTCTGCTGAAAAAGGAGGTTTTTCCGCCATTTGGCCCCATCTAGATCAGAAAAAGCTATGCCATTTGCAAAGTGCAATTTGCGTAGCTCATGGAGGAGATGGCAGCCATGATGGTGAAACTCGCTCTGGCCAATTTTTCTCCCTACATTATTTTTTTAAGACTCTCTTAGAAGGGACTGATAAGCAAAACAGTCCACCCTCATATTATGTTGTCTATTGATTAGGACTAATATCCAACATACCATTTCTGGCTAATTGATTTTTGATTCCACACTTTCCTTGTTTCAAGGACTGTTCTGAGATTTGTTAAGACTAATTCAGTTGTCTCTCTGGCATCTTTTCCCATCAACATTCATTACCGTAGGCCATTGTGACATCTTATGAACTTTCACTTGCATTTAGTGTAAATTTGTATGCTCAACAACTCTTCCAGGCATTTTCCTCCCATTCCCAGGGTTTTCCATTCTTCCCACCAATGTCAAGGGTTCTGTGTGCACCCAATTATCTCCATACATAAAGAAAAGATATAAAAATGAGCGGGGAGAGAAGTCATTCATGATATGTCAACACAGCAGCTTTATTTCGGACTAATTGACGTTATTTCGAAATAACAAAGAGCATGTCTACACTGCAAGCCATTATTTTGAAATAATGTTGAGCTGGAGAACTTCTTACTCTGACTCCTGTAACCCTTATTTCATGAGGAATAAGGGAAGTTGAAGGAAAAATGTTCTTCTTTTGACTTCCTGCTGTGTAGACAGCTTAATTTGGCTTTTGGCACTATTTTGACGTAGCTCAAGTTGCATAGTTTAATTTGACTTTAGCACTGCTGTGTAGACGTACCCTCAAGGTGTTGTCATTTTTAAACAGGCTTGGGAGGATCTGCAGAGCTGAAATGATGGTATCATTATTTTGGAAGGTGTCACCATGTGGTTCTTTGATCTATGCACAGTTATTGACAGACAATCTGAGAAATGCCTTTGAATTGAGAGTAAGACTTTTGTGCTTGAGTGTTCTAAATCATACAAACAAAATATTCTGCCCATTAAAACTAAAACCTTCTATTGTAAAGTGCTGCCTTTCTTCCAGTGTGCCCAAAGCCTCCTGAAGTGCCATTTGCTAAAGTTGATGTAAACAAGATAATATATGAGAGAGGTGAAGAAATTACGTACACCTGTGATCCAGGTTATAGCCATCACAGTGGCCTTAAAAAGTATGTTTGCCCTTGGTCTGGTAAATGGCCTATCAATACAATGAGATGTATACGTAAGTAAATCATAAGTACCATTTCTAGAGGTTATATTCTGCTTTAACTAGACTGTGCATTGGTTTGACACAGGCTTTTTTGTGGCTCATGCGATATATGATCTAGCTGTGATGCTTTTATTTTCTGTGGTCTTGCCTTTACAGTCTAAGAACTTGACTTTGCACTCAGTTCTTAGAATGGAAAGTAGGCAGCCATATTGTTATCAGACTTCCTTCCATTAGACAAGAGCTGCCCGCTTCACTCTCTAGTGGGAGCTTTGCTTTTGTTTTTCTCTTGTTAATTTCCTTAATACAAAATAAAAGATGCTTAGATTGAAATTATATAGAGCTGTTCTTTACATACGGAAAACTAACAATTTATGATGTTTATAACCAAGATTGTAACTCACCTTTTCATTCTTAAAATTGGAAGTTTTGTTCATTCTATTGTTTTAAAGTGTGAGGGTAAAATATTGCTAATTTGACTTTAATGGCATCTACAGAAATATATGTTTGTTTACAAAATCACATTTATTTAAATGGAAGGCAGGATCAGGCTTAGATAACTTTAATTTTATGGAGTTCCATCACAGGCAGGTTATTTATATCACATGCTTTTCATGGCCCTTGGACAATTGATCGTTAAAGCTAATTTAATCACTAAGAATTTTCATCTTAAGTAACCATCTTAAGTATATTTTGATTTCAAATATAAAATGTATACAGTCATGAAAATGTGTACAAAAAGGTGGAAAGATTTGAATGACACTACTTAATAAATGATCTACTGTCACTGCTTTATTTTATACATCATGAAATAATATTATCCTCTTTTATCGTTAAACAACAGCAAAGAAATGCTCCTATCCTGGACCCTTGAGAAATGGAGGAATTGATTTTATAGACTTGAACTATCAGAGTTTGGTACACTTTTCATGTGAGCCAGGGTAAGTTCTCCAATCACCATGGCATTAAAAAAAATAACCTAAGTTGCACTATTAAGTTGTAGCATCGTATAGCCTTCTTCAACATAATAAATGAGGTCTTCTTTTTTATTAATTGAGAAAAGCTACAGAAATAAAAATGATCCGTTTCATATTTTATGGAGGTGAACATAGGAATTGTTATAGTAGCCTATCGCTGAAGACACTAATTTCAAAGGACTTTATTAAATACCCATCGTGAACACTTAGGCCAGGTCTACATTAGACCTGGAGGATTGGTCTAAGGTATGTGACTCCAGCTTTGTAGAACATGTAGCTGGAGTTGACTTACCTTAAGCTGAGCTTGGCACCATCCCCACTGTGGGAGGCCGATGGGAGTAAATGTTCCTGTCGACTTCCCTTACTCCTCACCACTGCAAGGAGTATAGATGCCAGCTGGAGCATCACTCTAGGTATGTCTACACTGTGGGGATTTTCTGGAATACAGGAGGTATCCCTGAAAAACTCCGCTGCGGCCAAGGAACGCGTTTCCTCTTCTGCTTTTTTTTTGCAGAAGAGCAAACGCACTCTTTTGAGGAGCCCGGTATACCTCATTCCTCGAGGGATAAGGGCTCTGCTGAAAAAGGAGGTTTTTCCGCCATTTGGCCCCATCTAGATCAGAAAAAGCTATGCCATTTGCAAAGTGCAATTTGCGTAGCTCTTTCCGACAAAGGACTGTAGTCTAGACCTAGCCTAGTGTTCGATTTACAGGTCAATACTACACCCTCTAAATTGAATGCCAGAACATCTATCTCAGGCACAGCGATGAAGACGTGCCCTTACATAATTATTTTGTTATGGAATGTGATACTATTTAAAGTACATAACAAATAAAATGAGCATACTTTTAAAGAGCAAAAAAAGGACATATTCCATTTTTAATATAAAACATTTCTAGAAATAAAGTGATGGTTTTATGATTCTCAAAATCATAGTTCTTATAGACATCCATCTTCCAGCTTTCCTGTTATGTCCAAACTTGGGCAACATAAAGGAGTTGTGTGTTGGAGAATAATTCAACCTTGAATGCTGTGGTACAGGATTGGGCTAAACCCAAGCAGCAAGTTTAAGGCAAAAGAAGATCAAAGTTGTATTAAAAGTTATAAGTAAGCTACTGAGAATTGTGGTGTATGTTTTTTTTTTTTTTTAAATCACAGGCCCTAAAACAGGCATTATGCCTTCAATTTAAAATGCCCATATGTAAGAGAAATCCAGTGCAGTGAAACTGCAGGCTAGACTGAAAAATTAAAAGAAGAAAATTGTGAGTCCCTAATTAATAAGAAAGCTGAAAGAGCCTTGAAAAAGTGAAAAATCAATGAACGGTTTGGGAATAATGGCAAAAATAATTCTCAGAGTGACTGGTGCTTTCACCAGGATAACATAGAGTGATACATGTGATCCCTCAAGGCACACCAGTCCTCAATGAATCTCCCCATGGACTTCAGTGGATGTTGGATTGGATCATTAAGGATCAGTCTCAGTCCAGTTAGTCAATGCTGAAATTCTTGTGGGCTTCAATGGGGATTTGGCCCTTAGTGAAACTGGGGTAGGTAAAATTGTGTGGATGACACAGAGAGAGAACTTTGGGACCCCGTGAACTGAGCTGACAAAGAAATAGAGAGCAAAGAGATTGAAATTTCAATATTCAATTCAAGTCAACAAAGTGATCTCCAGAGAGCATCACTCAGACTGAGAATGTGGGGAAAAAAGATCATATGAAAATGGCTGTCTCAGAGATACTGGAGCTACTAAACAACTGATTTTTTTTTTAATTCACTTGACAAGCTCCCAAATATTCAAGAATTGGGTTGGAGGACAGGGCTGTCTCTCTCTTTCTCAGGGTGTGTCTACACGGCAGAGTATTTGGGGGGGAGGAGGGAAATAGCTGTTTTTCAAAAAAAATCTTCACTTTTGTCCATACTGTAATCACGTTTTTTGAAAAAAATTGAATAAACAGGGGGTTTACTGACATTGGTAAACCTCTTTCTACGAGGAAGAAGCCTTTTCCAAAAGAGCTCTTTTGGAAAAATGCATATGTGGACAGGAGAGAGGGAGTTCTTTCGAAAGAACTGGAAAAAGCACAAGTGCCCTGGTGGCCACTCCATCCATAGTATTTACAGCTTAAATGTGAGATAGCGTCCACACTGAATGGGCGCTATCTTTCGAAAAAGCAAATTGTTTTTTCGATGCACTTTGGCAGTGTAGACGCTCTCTTTCGGAGAAGTTTTTTCAGAAGATCTCTTCCGGAAAAGCTTTTTCCGAAAGAAGCCTGCAGTCTAGACATAGCCTTACTCTGTTTAATATTGGCCATAGCTTAGTGGGGGATATTGCTACTCCCAAGAGGACTCACAGAAATGGAACTAGTTCAAATGGCTAAATGAAAAAAAAAATTTTATGAAAAAAAATCTGTACCAACTTCTCTCCCCTTTGTAAACACTCTCCATACAGCGTGAAATGGATTCCTTCATCAGAAGTCCATAACATTGTAGGCTTTTGGGGCTGAAATACTGTTCCTGTCTTTCTCTGCACAGAGACTGAAGACCCGAGGTTCACCCTAATTTAATCTCCATATGCAGCAGCACAACACAGTTTTACCCAGGGGGCAGCTGGTTTGAAAAAGTGATCCCTCTGCCAGTAAATGCAATACATTCCAGTAAATCAGAACAAATTCAAAAGAGTTGGCAAAGGAAAATACAGAGACAGATGTTCGATAGCAGCACGTTGGCAGAACCAATGATACAGCTAGTTCTGAAGTGCTGTTGGGTAACATTAAAACTGGGACACGATCTGTAGAAACAAATCATGTGAGTGAAAAAAATTGTAGGTAGACAAAGTTTAAAAGAATATCCAGGACTGGTGATGGGGGAGTGGAGAGGAGGGGGGCAGTTGCCCAGAGCCTGGCAATTCAAAAGGACCCAGGACTCTTGGCAGCTGCTGCCACTACTGTGAATCCTTAAAACAGCTCCGAGTGTCATGCGGCATGCTCCGGATGTCTCTATGGGCTAGTGGGAGGACAACCGCAGTACACATACTCTGAGTGGCGCTGAGAGCTGGCGCTCCCAGCCTCACTCTTTCTGGGACCACAGAGCCACCCCCACACACACGCCTTGCCCAGGGGCCTGGCAAGTCTGTCGCCCCTCCCCCCACCTCTTCATTACAAATTAAGCATGGGTTTCAATAGTTTGCTCCTCTGGGAAATGCAGTGTAACAGTAAACAAAAGCAATTATGAGCTGCAGTCTAATAATGAGATTTGATTGATGACCCTCGTTTTCCTCACAATAATTTTCCTGGTTTCCAGCTGTGTCACACAGAAATGACAGAAACAGGATGAACATTTCCTTAAAGCTCAGTGTAAATACTTCCAGTTAGTTACACCATCATTGAAGTCTGGGATAAGCACTTGCGAGGGAATGTATATGAGAATTGAACGGAGCTGACTGGTGTCTCCTGGTAAAATTATGCATTAGTATCTCCCCTGAAGTACCTCATTTATATGAACAGAATCAATGTAATTGCCATAGATAACTAAGCACTGCTCCCAAGAAGCCATTTATTCTACCATCCACTGTATTGATGACCGATCAATATTTTTTCTTGGCATGCATGCAGAGTATTAATCAATTATATAAAAATGTGATGTCAAATGCAATTTATAGCTGAATGTGGAAGACACTGGCCTCTCATATTAGTTTTTCTCTCTTGTGAAAATGCCTTGAAGAAATTTGCAATGTTAGTAGTGAGTCATATTTTTCAGATTTAAACAAATTCCCATCAAAATCAATAGGTGTTTGAACTACTGGAGGATTTTACTATTTGGATCATACAATGCAGAGCATGTCTGCTTGTTGAGTCTCTTTTAGGCCATGTCTACACTACAGAGAAGATCGACGCTGCTGCAATCTAGTGAGGACCCACTAATTTGAACTGAGAGGGTTCCCCCATCAGCACTGGTAGTCCTGCTCCTCATGAGGAGTCAGGGAAGTCGACGGGAGCATGTGCTCCCCTTGATATCCCAATGAGTGGATGGCATGAAAACATGATTTAAGATCAGTCGACTCTAGTTACATAATTAATGTAGATGGAGTTGTGTATCTTAAGTAGACTTTCCCCTTTGGTGTAGACAAGGCCTTAGAAGTATTAGTCCCTCTTGTAAAGATTATTTCCTTTCTGCTATGTGTAAATGGCTTCAAAGTTTGCTGATAAATGGATGCCTTTTTTTCTCAGATACATTCTCAATGGAATAGACACTATCCAGTGCATGGCAGATGGACAGTGGAATGCAACATTACCTGAATGCCAACGTATGTGTCTTAAATATTACATTCTCTGGGCCTTCCTTTTATTTACATTCAAGATGTCTATGTCATTCTGGCCTTTTAAAGACCCTTGAAGTGGGCCTATGATTCATTCCCAGGCTTCGTAGTAGCACCAGAGCAGTGTAAAGGGGCCTCAGTGTAAATAAGAATAAGAGCTTCTATCTTTGATGTGACTTTTGATGATGTGTGAATTGTTAAAAGAGAAGTGTAGTTTAATTTATATATATATGTATGGCCCATTCGTCTCGAGAGACGGTGTTAAGCAGCGGCAGTGACAATCTATGAGTTGTGCCTGGATCTACAACTTTTCCATGGCTTATGTGTCCAATATTGGATTTGCACAATTGATTACAATAGCTACATGCCAGTCTACTTCTGTTTTCATGAGTCTGAGACATTTTCCTTCTGAGGCGGAGTTCTTTTGCATGACTTGCACAGGTCCTATCGAAAAATGACGTGCCCTGTTGTAATAATTGTCACCATGTGCTGTGATCTGATGACGCAGATTCCCAAGAGCTTGGATTGATGTTAAACCTTTTCATAGTGTTTTTACATATATCCTTGAATTTTAACTTTGGCCTTCCTCTTGCCCTTGCTCCACTTGTTAGTTCACCAAAGAGGATTTCTTTGGGAGGCGTTTATCACTCATTCTCCTCACATGGCCAAGCCACCGGAGTCTTCTGTTGTTAAGGATCACTATGAGACTGGGTGTGCCAGCTCTTGATAGGACATCTACATCTGAAACTTTGTCTTGCCACTTAATATTCAGGATTCTGCGAAGGCAGTGAAGGAAGAAACTGCTCAGTTTTTTCTCTTGGCACAAGTAGGTAGTGCCATTAAATAAGGCTGCCCTACCCCCTCACTCTGCTGGTTGAGGGTCTGGGATACTTGGATCCCTGGTTTACTTTGGATAATCCGACTGGCGTATGAACTGTGGTTGGTCACTGGCATCCAAGGGATAGTGACTCCTTACGTCACCCCGGAGAAGAGAAACCTGACAGAAAATTCCCCACTGGCTTGTGGGTAGGTTCGGGAGATCCAAAGGCTATGGGAGTAAACCCAGACAGATAATCCAGAGTGGAGACCTTAAGGCGGTTAACAGTGAGGTTTCATCCAATCTGCTTTTCCGGCATCTCGGCAGTTACCTCAGTTCCTAATGTACTGGCTTTTGTCTTTCCTTTGGACCTAACTGGGACGACCGAGAGGGGGATAGTGCCGCTTGGGCAATGCACTTTTTTCCAACACTAGCCAAGGCAATGCAGTGTGCAGGAGGAGACACTTACCAACACTCAGCTATACACAGCTACTATAGTCGATACAATAAACCGATTTGCCTCCGGCTTGGTAGCTGGACTGTGCAGACAATGTATCCTGGACTTGAAACTCATCATGATCTTACAAACACGGATTCAATATGTAAATCAGCAGTCATAGACCAACAGTTACATAAATTGAATGTTGACATTGCTGCTCTCCAGGAGATCAGACTGGCAGATGCTGGATTAGTAAAAGAAACCAACTACACCTTCTTTTGACAGGGTTTGAGTTCAGAGAAACGCTGTCTTTACGGAGTTGGCTTTGCTGTTCGAAACAATCTGATGAACTTTATCGTTACACCCATAGCTGAATCAGAACACGTTATATCCCTAAAGCTCAGCACCAAGTCAGGATATGTTAACATCATAAGTACTGATGCACCCACACTAATGTCGTGCACTGAAGACAAGGTCCGCTTCTATGGTAATCTTCAGAAAGTTGTCAATTCCTGTTCATCTGGTGAACAACTGTACATTATTGGTGATTTTAATGCAAGACGCGATCACCAGTCCTGGCCCATTTGCCTAGGTCATCACAGCATTGGGAAAATGAATGAAAATGGTCAAAGGCTTCTTGAATCCAGTTCCCAGAATCATCTCTCCATCACTAATACTTTTTTCAACTTAAAAGACTGTCACAAGGTCTCATGGCGCCACCCCAGATCCGGTCACTGGCTAGTTTAATAATCTGTCCAAAAGAATGGGAGTCTGGGACTCTTGAATTTAATGGTGGACAGAATTGTTGTTGATTCCCTGCTGTTTCAGTAGGTCACTTATCCACTCTACCTTAGTTTCCTTCTCTATACAACTAGGATATTAGGGAAACCCTGCAACTCTGGTATAGGTGTTTTGTTTTGGGTTTTTTTGCCATCATAATCTACCCTTCACAGACATAAAATGCTTTGAGATGGGTGGGCAATAAAACAGTGGCCATTTACCATGGTTAGCTCCTGGCTGGCCAACTCCACTATACTGACCTACGCCTCCACAGGTACTAGTAATCATGGCTTTCATTGGCCATGGATCACTGGGTCTCGGCCAATGGGAGCCGCAGGAAATGACGCAGAGTGGGAAACTGCTTCCCACAGCTTTTGTTGGCTGGGAGTGGTGATATGTAGCCAGCTGGAGCTATGATTGCCTGTATCTGTGGACGCACAGGTAAATATTGCAATGGGGGCCCGCCAGGGGCTATCCCTGGCAAACTAGATCCAGATCCGAGGCCAGTATTTGCCCATCCCTGCTTTGAGAGAAGTCAAATATGCTGTACTAGTCAATGTATTATTATATTGTCTGTACAATTCTACAGCAATCCATGAATTACCAACATTGATGCCACTGAGATTTTAATCTTATCTCATTGCTTTGGCAATTTCTCTGTGGCAGAATGCATATCATCGGGGCATAGTGCTGGTTCTATGTGACGTTCCTCAAGGCAGGTCAGTGATACTCAGACCTCTTGTTTGGGAGCCAAATGAGTGATCAGCATTACCCAAAAGAACCCTAGAACAGGTTGGACCTCTCTGGGCTGGCACCCTCGGGACCTGACTGGTCCCAGAGGAGGGATTTTGCTAGACCAGGGGAGGTCATTTCTGGCCCTCTGCTGCTGGCCCCATCTCCTGCCCTGTGGCCCCACCGGGCTTCCTGGCTCCCCCTGAAGCCCAGCTAGGTCACATGCCAAGCTTCCTGCCCCTCCCCAGCCCAGCTGGGCCATGCATCGAGCTCCTGTTCACCCCCCGCCTCCCCCATCAGGCCTCCACACACCCCACAGTATGCTGGAACTCTCTGATCTTCGAACATCCATGGTCCTGCCAGACCATAGATGTTGCCAGACAAGAGAGTCCCAGTTTATAGAGGTGAAACCTATAGTGTGAATTTGTTGTTTTTTTTACTATCGTACTATATAGTCATATTTAAACAGCCGGACAGGAAATATTTTGGGAGTGACTGTGCATGTATATAGTCTCACAGCAAAACAACTGATCACGTATATTATTTGTATCAATACAATTGGTTAACAATGTAGTAAAAGCATTTGACTGGTTAATTACTTAGACTGGTTAATAATTAAATCACCTAGTCTTTTAACACCATGTGCTGCAAAGACCTGCATGGGGCAGATTAAAGAGCCACTTGCAGCTCATGAGCTTCATTCTGAGCATCACTGAGCCAGATTTTTAACATGTGGAATAATGATGCTTTGCTTTTTCCAGCTGTGACTTGTCCTCTTCCCTCACTTCCTGAATTTGGAGTTATTTCTTACCATAAGCTAAGCCCTGGAAATGTGTCCGTCTTCCAAGACAAGATCAGTTTTGAATGCTTACCATCTTTTGCATTGTTTGGAAATGAAACCGCTACCTGCATGGCCAATGGGAACTGGAGTGATATACCAACATGCAAGTGTAAGTAAATATATTACTAATTTACTTTATTGTTGTTTTTTATTTTAAAGTGTACTCTGCGACCTAACCATTAGGCTACACAGCTGTCAGAGACCCAGCCACAAGAGGTGGAGGATGCAGCCAAAAAGTGGGGTGTGGGCTCCCAGCCTTCATTGCTCCTGGCCCAGGAACTCCAAACCTCTGACTAGTCAAGTCCTTAAGGGTATGTCTACACTAGCTCCTCGTTTGAACTAGGGTGGCTAATATAGGCATTTGAACTTGCAAATGAAGCCTGGGATTTAACTGTCCCGGGCTTCATTTGCATGTTCCCGGGCAGGCACCATTTTTAAATCCCCTTAGTTCAAACTGACTGCCTGCGGCTACATGCGGCAGTCAGAAGTTAATCCGAACTAAGTCTTTAGTTTGGATTAACTATTACTCCTCCTGCAATGAACTATTGAATCAATTTAAGAAATACAGGGTTAGATTGTCAGTTGGTAACTGCATCAGCATAACTCCATTGATTTCAGAGCACCTGTGCCAAATTCCACCACATTAAGATCTGACCCATAGATTATAATGAAAATACTTCTAAATGAAATACTTGTTTCTTTCTAATGTTTTCATCTTTTCTCATTGTGTATCTCTGTGAGAGAGGAACAGAAGAAAGTTTCAAGGTTTGCCAAGGTTTCAAGGTTTGCCATGTTCTCAACACTATATAGACTGTCTTAAACTTCTACAAGTGATACAGTTTTGCTTTTTTTTTTACAATAGATGTACAATGTCCACATCCAGCAACGATAGAAAATGGATTCGTAAATTTTGCAGTTCGCAGAACCTTTTCCCCCTGCCATAGTCCTTATGTGCTAGATGGACCGAGGGAATCAAGGTGTGAAAAAACAGGTAGCTGGTCCATCAAGCCAACATGTAAAGGTATGAAAATATGTACTCTGTACTTAAAACCCATCTACTGACCTGCATTTTCATAAAAGTGTATTGTCCATCTTGAGGGATATCTTTGTAACAGTGCCCCATTTCAAAACAAAGCAGAAAGTATAAATGTGTAAAAATGAGGCCTGTAATAAAACATAAAATGATTATTTGATTCCAAATCCGATCTAGTGTAAGAGGATCCAACTAAATTGACTTCAGAGATTATGCACCTACTTCCACTCGGTTGAATTCTCCCTTTCTCTCATCTTTCTTATAACTGAATAAAAACATTGTACTCTGGTCAGGTCTATGCTAGAAATTTTGATGGTGTTGCAATGTTGCATAGAGCCACTTCCCTCCCTCTGCCCTGCCTTTTTAAAAGAACCATTTCTATACTGGCAAAAACCTCAGTGTGAAGGCTATCCCAGCAAAAGCATGTTTTATGGCGTGTACAATTATAATTACACCAGCAAATCTTTTCTTCTGTAGACCTGGCATCTATGTCCCTCATTTCCTATGATGCAAATAACATTTTCTGTGATGATGCCATTTAATTTTTTTCCATCCATAAACAGACTATGTGAAACATATTCACACTTTCAAATCATGAAAAGGGCCAAAGATGCAGTTTACTTGGTTGTTCCCAAGAAAAGATACACCTACAACTGACCTATGAAAACCAGCCACTTGACCACATTCATCAAGGACATGTATCACCTAAACCAGTATACTGGCAATAATTCAGAGGGTAGGATTTTCAAAAGCACCAAAGGCTACGTCTACACTGCACCTCGCTTGCGCAAAAGGCTATGCAAATGAAGCACGGATTAACATATTGCTGTGCTTCAGTTGCCTAATTAATTAGGAGCCATTTTTGCGCGAGAGGCTTTTGCGCAAAAAGGAGCTGCGTAGATGGCTCCTTTTTGCACAAAAAACCCTCTTGCACATTTCAGGAAAAATGGGTCTTGCCCAAAAGCCTCTTGTGCAAAAATGTCCCCTAATTATGCAAATGAAGTGCAGGAATATGCTAATTTGCACTTCATTTGCATAGCCTTTTGCGCAAAAGAGGTGCAGTGTAGACACGGCCTAAGTGTGCTCCAAAGTCACTTAGCCACTACTGAATATCCCACACAGGGTCTATGCTTCAGGTAGACATGTCTGGTGTTCACGGTGTTCTTCTACCTTCCAATGTTACTTTTGCATCTTCTTCAAAAGACTTAACCCGTTCATTGTTAAAAAAAAATAGAATTCTTGTTATTCAGAAGCACCATTTACACATTAATTGTTTTTCAGCACCATGTAAAATCCCAGTTAGCAAAGCCACAGTGCTATACAACGGCCGGAAAATAAAGGTTCAGAATGATCTCAAGGAAGGAATACTGCATGCTGAAACTCTTTTCTTTTTCTGCAAAAATAAAGAACAAAAATGTGGCTATTCGGTACCTACTCAATGTATTGATGGCCAACTCACAGTCCCTGCCTGTTTCAAAGGTATGTACTAATTGCACAAAAGCTTACAGTTTGGGGGACCTGGATTATATAGGCAATGTTTTCTCTTACTCCAAATCCATACTTAATGGCTGAAGCTTTTTGGCTGGAAGGGTAGTGGAAAGCTTCAGTGGGAGACGTGGTCCCAGCTACGGAGAGCATGCACAGCAAGAAGCTTCTATATTAGAGCAGTGGTCTGTGCCAGTTTTGTCCATAGCAGGGCTGTCTAGGATTTGGATGGGCCAAAAACTGAGGCTATGTCTAGACAGCAGCACTATTTCACATCTTTAAACAAGCCCGTTATTTCAGATTAGATTTCGAAATAACGGGTATGCTATTCCGACGTCCCTGTAACCTGTGTTCCACGAGGGTTTAGGGATGTTTTGGAATAATTCTTTATTTCAAAATTTGGTGCTGTGTAGACAGCTCCAAATTTCAAAATAAACTATTTCTAGATTAGATTGAAACAAGATATGCAATTTGCTTAGCTCAAATTGCGTATCTTATTTCGACCTACGGGTGCAGTGTAGGTCCTGACAGAACCATGGTCAGTGAATCTGAGACTTCATGAATTGATTGGTCAAACTCTCCATGGAGGAGGATTGCAGAGACCACCTTTATGGCTTTGAGACCCTAGAAAATTGCATTAATCCTTCACAGTTGCTTATGCAGGCCTGTTTATTTCGGATTTGCATGTAATTGTTGGGAGGAGGGAGTACGAGTTGGTAATCCGGATTTGAATTTTTAACATCAGGATCACCAAGTGATTGATGGCTTCACTGCGGAATTGAGGTTGCAGACACTTGGTTGGAAATGCAAAATATTTAAAACAGAAAGAACAGACAGCATCTTTCAAACTAAAGTCTATATTAGCAGTCAGAGAAATATAGCAGCATGTTAGCAAGAAGAAGTGCTTTGTGTTTTTCTTTTATTAAATTTGTCCACACAAAATGTTCCTCTTTTCATTTGGAAATGTGGGAGGAGAGAAACCCACCATATGCTCTGTGGTGGAAATGGCTGCTCTCGTATTTTGCATTAGCATCAGATGATGGTTGCAACTGTTGCTGAAATGGGCCTTCTAACAGCATCTTTCTATGGCTCCTCTGCTGTACTGCTAAATTTCACTACATAGTTTGCCTCATGATTATAACTTATATTAATTGTTACATATTTTAAAGAATCTCACCTAGACTTGTAACTTCTTGTTTTCACAGAAATTGGACTTCTGCAATCTATTTGGAAAACTGATCCAGCAGAGTTGGCCCCATGTGCTGCAGGAGTGAATTCAAAATAGCAAGATAGTTCTATTAGACAAGTTTAACAAAAACAAAGTTGTAAAGGTGGAAAGGATCGTTTAGGTCCCAAGAAATGTATTTGTCTCTGGTCCTATAACAGCATACTCTCTATTGTCAAATGTTCTATTACAAATTCTCTCCTGAAATATAGCATGTATTCCTTTGCTCACTTTTCTCTCCTTCTTATTTGAATGTCTATGCCAGACCACTCTAAGCAATTTCTTTTCTTTTGTATTTACACTCTTCATATACTTGTAATTTGTTCTCAGGCCCTACACCAATGTAGTCCTTTTTCATTCAAGCTGTAGTGTATACTTATTCTTTTAATATTACCTGGTCAGAAGTCCAATTTTCTAGCTCTTCCCTGTTTATCATTTAAAGTCAGTTTTAACAGTATCCACGCAGTATTGTACTTTTCTTCATAAAGTGTTTTTCAATGGTGATTATAGCATTGATTTTATTCTATTGTGTATTGGAAAACTGTCTTCTCAAGTTACTCATTTTATAGTCTGATTTCAAAGCAAACACGTATAAATTCAGCCCTTCTCTTTCTAATCTGTACCACAAGTCTGAAAATTCAAAAGAGGGACAGTGATTAGTAAAAAGGGAGGCACTTGTCTAGAAGTTGGAGAATTAGGACAGTTGTGTTCTGTCTAGTTCCATTCCTGGGTCCTCACAGAGTATAGCTTCCATACTCATGTCGAGTATAATGACAGAAGAGTAGGGCTGGAAAGGAACTTGAGAGATCATTTAGTTTAGCCCCTTGTGCTGAGGCAGGACCAAATATACCTAGACCATTCCTGATGTATGTTTGTAGTATGTTCCTTTGCACTTACTCTAATTGGTGTGGATTCTTTCACCCCAGATCAGCCCAGGAAAGAAGGCTCTCTCTATGTAGATCACATAATGGATCAAATACTCAAAAGAAATATCCCCTTCCTTAAGGCGTAGCCAGAGTTGGTTGCAGCTTCAGGGTCCATAGAGGGGAGGAGAGTGGAGACTGATTAGGCTAGGGCAGAATCAACAGGGATGATGTACATCACCCTCTTTCTGGCCCTGCAGAGATTCCACAGGCTAAGATAATACAGCCTGGGACTGGACTACCTGCGGCCAGGGAGTAGGAGTAGCACCACGATCCAGAAAAAGTACAGAGGCATCAGACGTGTTAGGAGATAGCTTTAACCTCCTACAGATTTCTTTGGATCCTCAATATTTCTGGCCAGGCCCTGTGACCTAATCTCCAGTGATCAAGTATGGGGATATGGATGTAAAACCAGGTTCTTGAAAAAATAAGGGATAAACTCTGAGGAAACCCTGTGAAATGTTTTCTCCTCCAAAACTTTACCCATGTTGATTTTGGGGGGTTATGATCTCTGCTACTGAAAATGCATGAGAAACTAGCAAGGTGTTGCACTTCTCATTGTGAGTAATGACATGTTGTGTTCTTGTAGCCATGTCAGTCCAACAAGGTAGGTGAGGTAATATCTTTTATTAGATCAACTTCTGTTGTTGAGAGAGAGAGGCTTTTGAGCTTACATGGAGCCTCTTCTGTAACGGTGCCAGAATGAGACACTTAAACTTCCTAGCCTCAGTTGCTGTAGCAAGGAGAGAAAATAGTCATGTGTAAACATATCCGTTCAGACTGTATTTGCCCTACCTAGAAGAATCAAATGCAAATGAAACTTCCTATAAAAATATACTTTCTGTTACATAAGGGCTGCATCTAGACTGCCAAGTTTTTCCGCAAAAGCAGTTGCCTTTGCGGAAATCTTGCCAGCTGTCTACACTGGCTGCTTGAATTTCCGCAAGAACACTGACGGTCTCGTGTAAGATTGTCAGTGTTCTTGCAGAAATGCTATGCTGCTCCCGTTTGGGCAAAAGTCCTCTTGCGCAAATACTTTTGCACAAGAGGGCCAGTGTAGACAACACGGTATTGTTTTGCGCAAAACCACGTCTATCGTGAAAATGGCAATCGGGGCTTTCTTGCGCAAAACCACGCTCTTTTCCGCAAATGCTTTTAACGGAAAAACTTTTCCGTTAAAAGCATTTGTGGAAAATCATGCCAGTCTAGACGTAGCCAAGGAGTTTATTTGGTTTTCAAAGGCCAGTAACTATCTCACGACTTCTGATTCTTTTCCTATTTTTACAATGAGAGTATGTAATGCTATTCCTGCACATAGTTCTGGAATATTAAAACTCCAGTTGTCTGTAAGAGAGAGTATATTACAGTGTCTTAGTGCTATTCAGTAGCATACAGCATGCATGACAATTGGAAGTGTTCATTTCCCAGAGCTATACAAAACACACTCATATAGGCTACAATTTTTAAAGAAACCTAAAAAGTTCCCAAATTTTCATCAAAATTCAATAGGATTTGGGTGCGGAGCTTGCTTTGTCTGTTCTGAAAATCTCAATATTAGCCATAAAAAATGTTTTAGCTTTTACATGTGATTCTAAATGCATCTGACAAATATTCTATACTGATTTATCTTATTGATTCTATTTTATGCCAAATTAATTTTTAACATCCCACGTAATTAAATGTCTAACTTAAAAATTCTCACACAAATAAGTTGAGTAAAGGTTATCATTTCTGGTTTTAGCAGACTATATACTCCATCTAGCTTATGGTGCAGAGCAGCAACAAAATCAATAGCGAGTTCTGGTGAAATCCATTGAACATTTAAAGTAGCTAAGCTGACAAAACTCTTGATTACATGGGATATTAGCCAGCATTCATTTATCTCTTAGATATGTCCCATCAAATGAATGAAATATTCCAACATACTAGCAAAATATGTTTGCATCTATGTATATTTGGGCCCCAAACTATAATTCCTGGTTTGAACTGACATGTCATTCTTCTTGTATTGTTAAATTTCTAGAACTTAAAAAGGAAAGATTTTTTTTAAATTCCTAAGAAGACTGCCTTATGTATTTTATGATGTGCACTGGAAGTAAATTTTTCAATAAAGGATTTTGAGCTCATCTGTACCATCTCCTATTAAGACAATGTGTGTAGTATCAAGTGAGTCCATGCAAATTTGACATTGAAATGCAGGGAGTGAAAGGTTGTTTTTGTAACAAATCTTTCTTGTATAGTCCTATTAATTTTTAATACAAACATTTTCAATGCCATACATTTGCAAGCAGCAAAAAAGTATTTTAAGCATCTGAAAAACATCTTGATGTGTACCACTAAATTACCTACACTATGCCTCAGTTTATAAAAGAAATAATGTAGAGTATTATTAATAGAAATAGAACTATAGGAACATGAGAGAGCAGTTCCAACCACTTTTAGCAGAGAACAGATGTCTTTGTATCTGAGTAGGTGGATGGCCCAATCCAAGACTATTTTTTCTATCTCTATTTCAAGTGGTAGACACGAGAATTAATTTCTTATTGAGTTGTCAGAAGGGATTTATGAATGTTAGCATGTAACTCAAGACCTTTTTGCGTAACAGGGTACACTCAGACTATGGTAATATAAATAAGAGCTGGATGTTCCCATTTTGCTCCAAATTAAGACTATGCATACTACATACGATGGAGCTACATAGAAGCTCCAAAAAAAACCCCAGAACAACAAAAACAAAAACAGAACATAAACTTCAGCCTAAGCTTTCTCTTCAGCCCTAGCTTTCCTAGGGTTTCCTGCAGAACCCTGTGTTTCCCTAGTTCCCTCTCACCAGAAGCTCATGCCCATCTTTTATATCTTAGCGGAATCAACAAGTTGCACCTTCCCTGCGTGAAGTCAGTAAATTTCCGTTATGGTTTTATGCAAGTCTGCAACTCTTGCCAACAGAAGAGTTCTGCATCATGATGTGAGGTCTTATATTTGTTGCGTTAATTTTCATGGAATAAAGAGATCCAGAGAACCCAAGGTGTTAACACAACTCTGTTACTGTACAAGACTAAACAGTTCAACATAGTTCAGGATTTTGAGCATAGAGACCTCTGCCCGCTTAGTTTCATGGCAAATGCACCATTAAAAACCTTTATAAGCTTTTATTTAAGATTATAGAAAAAGGAAAAACAGTGAGGGCATTTGAAATACAAAGTATGAATCAGATTTATTTTTAAAAGTTCTTTATTCCCTTTTCCTTTAGTTGTAGTAATTTTAATAAAGGGAAATCCTGCTTTACTGTCTTTTAGATGTTATTAAAGAGGGTTGCAACAGCCCTTTTTGGGGAGAAAAAAGACTAGTTGAGGTGGCCTGGAACTGTTGCTGTTGTTCAAGTCCAAACCCACTGCCCACAAGAGGAGATAAACACACAGAAGAGGGGAGAAACAAGGCCAGCAAAGATAGAAAATTCAGCTTCTGTGTATTGTGCTAACTCTTGCAATCTTGATGCTAGAGAAATAAGGGGCCAGTGCATGGTTGTATCCACCACTCCAACTCCTGGAAGCATCAAGCTGTCTGAGGTATCGCTTGTAATTGCTCATTTGGTAACAGGTTCACAGCAGTGCTGTAAAAGATGCAGTCTTGACTGCCTAAGCCAGACTCTTACAGACTAGAGGGCAAAAGGAGAGAGAGAAGGAAGAGAAGAAAAGTTGGGTGATATGGAAACAAGTTTCTTAGCCCAGGCGGTCTTTGTGATTTAGCTGGACCTGGTGATATCACCTGGGTTCTTCTGGATTGCCTATTCCAAACAGGTTCTCTCTCAGGATCAGGACAACCAAAGACCAATGGTGTCATGGTGCATCCAGAGATGCCTGGGGGATAGTAGTAGTGTCAGCCAAGCTCTCTCCTTCTGGTCCAGGTATCACACAGCCTGCCAACTTGATTCTAAAAGAAAGAGAGAGACAAAGGGTACGTCTAGACTACATGCCTCTGGCGACAGAGGCATGTAGATTAGGCTACCGGACATAGTAAAAAGAAGCGGCGATTTAAATAATCGCTGCTTCATTTAAATTTACATGGCTGCCGCGCTGAGCCGACAA